TACTTTCGGTGCATTCCAGGGAGTTTTGATGCGTTCCACAGCAGAAAAAAATAGGGCATGCTGCAGTTTTTCCACATGGTCTGGAAATGTAGATCAGGCTGAACTGCTCCCATGGAGTTCTAGAGCATGTACATCAAAGGCCTTTGGATCACTGGATCTGGATACAACACCGTCGAGCTTGTTGTTTAATCTGGATGCTAGGGAAACTATATCCAGAGTTTCCTACCAACAACAGATCTGTTGGAAAACCTCTGGATTCATTTACAATTCTCCCTTTTCTAACTGCTGGATAAGACAATCCACTGGTAGACACTCTGGTCCACAAAGTCAAAATTCTCAGCTGTAGTGGCCTTCAATGAGTCTGAGCAAGTAGGACTGCCTTGAAAGTTGAACTATCACTCCTAGGACCCTCATGCAAAACCGAGGGACAACATTTTGATTGAAGGCACTCTTCCGCGCAAGTCGGCAATAGCAGCTATCCCACCACTTTCCTGCATGGGGTCAGCGTGGGGAGTCGGGGGGCCCAGAGTCCATAGGCCAAACACGCTGATTAGGGATAGAGTCACTACTGAGGAAGGAGACTTACCACTCCTGTCTTCATCTGAGGATTTATTCCTTGGCTTCTCTCACTTCAGGGGAGCATACCCCTTAGGGGGGTCTTCAGGGAAGGGGGGTCACACCAGTGAGGGATACACCATTACCCTGGACCTGTATAGCACCCTACAGCTGGCACTGCACAATTTGTGCCAAGGTGGGTGCTTATTACAGCATCCAGTGCATAAGCAACATTACAGGCCAGTCCCACATCTTCTGACTCTGCCCTAGCTGGATCTGGGTGCACTCCCGCCGTGAGGTGCCAATCTGGAAAACAGCACCTTGTGCCAAATTTGCTTTGTGCAAGTAGAGGGAAAACTTGATAGAATACCTCAAAAGGTCTATCACCTAAGGGCATTGAAAAAAAACTAAGGGTTTGTGGTCGTGGAAGGAGTTATAGAGGCTCCAAACAGCTGTGGCCAGTGTTCAATCGCCTGTCTGTTAGCTATATAACCCAATCGTCCTGATCATCCTGTATTGTAAGATGAAAAGCACACTGGCAAGTTTGACAGTAGGCATGCCGTCAAAGTAACTATTTTGGGAGACCATTAAATTGGTTGGTCTAGTTCTGCTTTTAAATGTAATATGACATCATCATGTTGGTAAAGGCAGCCGTCAATGCCATTGCATCTTTTGTTACCTTTCAGAGCCACCAGGAGCCCTAAAATCTGATACCTAAATATCCTGCATAAGGAAGTCTGTGGTTGGCCTCCTATCTTCTACCTCCCCAGTGCCATTATTGGTCAGTAAACTCCTTTTCACACGGATGGACCAATTGGCAGGCCAGGCCGTGTGTATATAACGGAAAATTGTATACTTACCTATCGGTAATTTTCCTTTCCTGATGCCAATCCATGGCAGCACACAATGGGTATGGCTCCGCCCCCAGCCCAATCACAGGACCAGTTATACTATAAATTAAGAACGGGAGTTTGTTTTGGGCTTGTCTTGTCAAAAAGGAATAGTGTGCTCTAACTTACAACAGATAATTAAAACTCTGCATTTAGTAGCTTAAAAAGGCCTAAAGAAATCTAAATTGCAGTCTGTTTCTTTGAGTCACTGTATGGTAATATCTTTCACATTTTGTTATTAAGTCTGTAAGTCTGAGACTGTTATGGTTTTTATTAGGGTTGCACAGATACCAAGTACAGTACTCGGTACAAGTACGAGTACATGTACAGATACTTTTGAGCTCCAAGACTACACTAGAGAAAAATTCAAAAATTAGGAGGCCACTGTCATTTGTAAGGAGCACACGGAGCTCCTGGGATTTGTACATCTCTGTTGTAATGTACGATTTTGTTTTTATAAATAAAGGGATGCACAGATACCAGTTTTACGAGTACTGATACTTGCCGAGTACTTACGAGTACTGATACATTTTTGTTTAATGTCATGTGACAGTTTTTCTGAAACAATACAGACTAATGATTTCAGGACAGTGGTGGAGTGCCAGAGCCCTGTCCCAGCTGCAACCCCTGCAACCCCGGGTGTTCTCATGAAAATGCCAAGTATCTGCACTGGTAATCGAAAAGTATCTGTGCATCCCTAGTTTTTATGGATTGTGTTGGAAAGACATTAAATCTTATGAACTATTTCATTTTATTGTCTCTTCTCTTTGCAATAGACTCAGCTCCCTGAACTTGATACACCTGAATCAAGCAGACTGATGGCTTTTATCTCTTGGCTGAGAGAGCAAAGACCATTCTTCCCCACATTACACATAATCCGGTAAGTTGTTCCAATATTCTCATGCAGCTTTCTTTTACTTTTGTCATTTATTCTTGTTGAACTGCTCCTTGCATTCTGTGTAATTGTGACCAGTGCCAGTAAAAGGAATTCCTGTAAGCGTTAATGCATGGTAATTTACGTACATTATCAATAAACTTAGTACTTGTTCTCTCTGCTTAAAAGTCCAACCTTAGTCCAAATGTCAATATCTGCCCAGTGTCCAAAGAAGGCGTGGAGTGTTTTAAGGCTGTTTATGTAAGGAGACATAGTGTTTTAAAGTATTCAAGAGTATTTTTGAAAATGGGAAACATTTAATTTATGTATTTCAAATGCAAGGGCTCATGAAACGTCGAAAAGCTACATTACCCAAAGTTGTCCATCAGCTCATTATTATGGAGCTAACCGTGAATGTTAGCCCTAGAATCATTGCACTCATTCCCCCTTGCATGGCAATGCTAAATATGTGACACAGTTGTCGTTTTCATACTCGTATGAACCCAACCCACTTGTATGTTGGGCCTTTTTTAAATTTATTTTTAATAAACTTTAATTTTATCACGTTTTTTTATACCTTAACCTTATTGCTATCACAAGGGAGCTGATAAGCTCTCTGTGTGATAGCATGCTGCAGGTGACAGATTTTTAGATCCCTAATGTCACCCCTGCTCTTTTTTGATTGTGCTTGATTAGCGTATTCCCTGACTGGAAGCCAGGGAATAACAGCGCTTAAGCCAAAAGAGGATGGAGATCACCAGCACTCAGTCAAAAGCATTCAATTATTTGCTTATTTATTGAAGAAACATGTCACAAGCGTCAACTAGCCAACATTTCGGGTCCACACAGAGCCATGGAGAGACCCAATATGCAGCCCTGCTGACATCTGTATGCACCACCGGAGAGATGCAATATGCAGCCCTGGTGACATCTTTATGCAGCTCTGCAGAGACCCAATAAGCAACCCTGGTGGGATCTGGCCGCAGCCTGGTTGGATCTGGACTACAGATGTCACCAGGCTTCGTTCAGATTCTGTATGCAGCCTGGTGAGCGCTGTGCGCAGCTTTGGTGAGATTTGTATGCAGCCTGGTGACATCTGGAGTCCGGATGTCACCAGGCTGCGTCCGGATGTCACCAGGCTGCTCCAGATTCTGCAAAATTGTAGAAATGTCACCAGCACACCAATCCTTTTAAGATAGCAAAAGCTTTATTTATTGAAGTTTTTTGTCATATGACCAAACAAGCGCTTTCGGGACCGCACAGGGTCCCTTCATCAGGCTTTAGCATTGATGAAGCATTTGCTATCTTAAAAGGATTGGTGTGCTGATGACATTTCTACAATTTTGCTGACATTCGCGGCGCCATCCGCAGTCACTGCGAGCACCCCCCACTACAAGGGACATATCGGTAAGGAGTGCGACAAGGATACTTGATACTTAATGCTCCAGATTCTGAACACGGTCTGGTGGGATCTGGATGTCACCAGGCTGCGTCCGCATGTCACTAGGCTGCGTCTGCATGTCACCAGGCTGCGTCCGCATGTCACCAGGCTGCATCCAGATTCTGAACGCAGCCCTGGTGAGAAACTGCCCTAAAATCATTAGTATGTATTGTTTTAGAAAAAATGTCTCATGCCCCTTTAAGAAAAAGTATTGGTAATTGATATCAGCAAGTACCTGAGGGGAAGTACTTGTACTTGGTCTTGAAAAAGTGGTTTCGGGACATCCCTAGTGTATTTGTATGCTCCCTAAAACATAATGGGTTATTTCTATACTGTCCTCCCAACCCTACGTTAAATAGATGTATCTGGACTTCTAAATGGAGTGCGGCACCTTATTTTGCAATATTGCAATTAGACACTACAGACCAAGGAGGCACTGGAGATTCCCTTGGGATGTAAAAGCTACGGTATGGTAAACAGATCACTTACAGGTGAAACTCGAATAATTAGAATATCATGCAAAGTTCATTTATTTCACTAATGCAACTTAAAAGGTGAAACTAATATATGAGATAGACTCATTACATGCAAAGCAAGATAATTCAAGCCGTGATTTGTCATAATTGTGATGATTATGGCTTACAGCTCATGAAAACCCCAAGAACCCCAAATCCACAACCTCAAAAAAGTAGATTATTACATGCAATCAATAAAACAAGGATTGTACATAGAACAATATCGGACCTCTGAAAAGTACAAGCATGCATATGTACTCAGTACTTGGTTTGGGCCCCTTTTGCAGCACTTACTGCAATTACTTTTGCACGATATTCTAATCGAGTTTCACCTGTATAACAACCTGTTCACATCATAACTAGCCAGCCACACCAATAGGATAAACTTGCAGGTCCAGTGCATTCTTTTGACATATTTCCAGTAATTTTCTAGAGCATTGTCGGCTTTAAGCCACCAGTAGAAAGATGACAGGTTCATACCGAAAATAAACTACTACTGAGATACCACTACCACTGAGCACAGTGCCTGCCAGCCTGGTAGGTGTCTGTAACCTGTGTGTAGATGTCTGGGACACTGAAGATATCATTGGCCTATGTCTTGTCCCTGTGAAATGTACACATGTTGCCCAAAAGTCTTGCTCATCCACTGTTGACTTTAATACTGCATTGGGTTATACTCCTCTTGCCTGTGAACTCCTTCTTCTTCTTCTTTTTTTTTTTTTTTTTTTTTTTATAATGTCTTTGGATCTTGGTTATTACTTTTGACAGCTTTCTTCAATTCTCAGGGATGAAAGTCCTCTAAAGTCCACTTTCCTGCAGAACATGATTGAAGACAGAACAGAATCTGCCTTGTCATACTACGAGTTTCTTCTCCACCTCCAGCAGCAAGTGAACAAGTAAACCACTGCATAGATCATGTGTGCAAGAGGATAATTCCCTCTCAGCAGTACACCATACAATGGCCCAATTAATGCCACGTTTTCAATGTTAAGTCACTAGGCCTCATGATTTAAGATGTGCATACACTGTGATTTCAACAAAAAAGTTATCTAATGAGATATACAAGCAAATATCCTGTCATTTTAAATGGCTTGTAAGGAATACAATAAAAAGGATGCCTTTGTGCCAGGTGTCTCTAAGAACTGTCAATACTGTCAAGTGTGCAAGTCAACGCACTACACAGAAGCCCTCGTTGTCATCATGTAGTTTTCACAATGTACAGGAGGCAAAAAGACCTTTAATAAAATATAGCCAGATCTTTTTTTTTTTCTTATGGTTTCTTTTCTTTTGCTGCTAGTTTTTGAAATTTAAATGAAATACAAGTTGCTGCTATAAGAGAAACTGCTTTGTACTCACATGTATATGTTTTTATAATTTGACAGAACTTTAGAAATGTGTTGACAATGGGCCATAGAGTGATATTTTTTTCCCTTTTTGTAACTGATTCCTGAGATGTGTTCAACCCATGATTTTAAATGTACAAGAAGTGACGTGGTTAAACTGCTTTTCCAAGCTTTTTGTAAAACACAAAATGTTAAAGAAGAACTCCACTCAGAACCACTTTATTCTTAGGATTGTAGAAAGCATCTTAATAGCAAGGTTATGCCTCTTAAGTCTGTTGATCTTCCATAATGAAATTCTATCCTACCATTTAATAAAATTATCTGCTTGAGATGGTTAGTTTCTGAATGAACTTACATTGATTTTAGTGGATAATGTCTTGATGTGAATGCAGACTATAATTACTGGTTTTGGGTAGAGTTCTTCAAATGGAATCTATTATGAAGCAAATCACTTGTGTGATAAGACCTTCAATGAATGTCATTCTATAACTTACAAGCTTCAAACTTAAGATCAAGGATCAGAAAATAGTTTCCATTTGAGGCTTGTTGCAAAGCAGTTTTCCTTTTGTCATAGATCCCCTTTAACTTCTGGCAAGCAATGAGAACATAATTTGTCTGTGACCATTACAAGATGTTCCATGACATTGAAGCCATTTGTATTTTAGCAATAGTTTTCAACTAGTGCTTTTGTTGGCAGTGACTAAGAAACAAACCGAATAATTTTTTATTACATATAAAAAAAAGAACATAAAAGTAATTGTTAAAATAATGGATTAGGTTATGTCTCCCCAGAACCAGGGTGTTTGTGTTTCATAGTTGCACTGCATAATTCTTGAATACACCGTTTTAGCTGCAGGGAAAACCATATGTATAACTATCACTAGATCAGACATATGGGCAGCTGAAATCCTAATCAAATTCAAACTTTATGTTCACAGTAATTTTGTGTTTTGCATCTGACATAATAGCAGATAAAATGGGAAAGATGCTTCCAGATACGGGGATAGTGCACGTATTGTGCGTGACCTTAAGTATCTTAAGGTCCTGTGTTGATGGCTTTGGCTTGTGTTTATGGCATCAGTTTGACAGGCTTATGAAATCTTTCAGAATTCATTGGTGCATTTGACCTGCTTCAAGTGGGCTTTGCATTCCCATAGATTCATATGAGGGTGGAAAACCTGCCTTAAATGAACCAAAAGCCTGTCGACATGGGCCGTATAGGTAACCTGAGTCTTCTAAATCTGAAACTGACTTACTATAAACGTATAACTTTTAGCTTCCCCATGGACCCTCTCCGGGAGTCCATAGGAGAGATGGAGTCACCACCATATCCATTTGCTCAAAGTGAGCACATTTAATAATCACATGTAGTAAAGTCTTCTAGCGTCTGGGCCCCAAGCAGCTGCCCAATTTGCCCTTATAATCTGGACTCAGTTCAGCAACATGGGTAATTCTCAGTTATACGAATGAAAACACTAGCACGGTCCTGAGGCTGATCACAAGTTTCATAGAAAATAACATTGAATGCAACCTACAAATGGTCTGCAAGAAATTCCTTATTAATTATAAGGTATTTTGCAATTAACTTGTGAGATCCTTCAGACAGTGTACGTCATATCCTTTTGTTACAGAACCCCTTGTTTAGTCACAGTAGACTTGCAGTATTTGTGGTTGCACAGTTGTGCAATTAATTTAGTTTATGAAACCATTGGACACACAGGGCTGTAGAAATGAGCCAGTAAACTCTTCCCCAAAACTGGCTTCTAAGCATTTGTGTTAAGATACTTATACTTAATCATTTGCTCCTACTAAATGTTCAGATATATCCCACCAGTAACTGGATTGCGTATGGGGCAAAAAACAAATACTACATGTGAGATCTGAGATTTGTGGTTACATCTGTACAAGATTTATCGGGTAAAGCTCAAGTGATGGGTCACTACTGTGTCCAAATTATTTTGTTTAAGTTTTTTTCTTTTTTGTCAATATTCTGAATTTCAAATGCATTTTGACCAATGTTTCAAACCTGGAACATGGTACCAGATGACAAAAAATGTACCACTCAAAATAATTAAAGTAAACATACCTCTCTTGCATGCCCTTAAGATAATACCACAAAATGTTACTAACAGTTTGGTTCTGTGTGGGACTGTGCCTTTAACAGGCAAGGAGGATGGCTGGAAAGGTTTAGACGCATCACTTATGGAAAAGTTTCTGCCGTCCTTAGTTTTTCTTTCTTCTTCTTTTTTTTTTTTCCTAATTTGGCGTAACTTTATTATTGGCTGACTAATTTATTGTGAAGTGGAAGGATAGAGCAAAAATGTGTGTAACTGAGTAATTTCAGTTTTCATTGTTTTAATAAATGCACCTTTTATTCTCAGATTTCTTGTTAATAAAGTTTATAAGGATTCTATAATGGTTTTACTTATCTGTATTTGATCATCAGAGCTGATAAAGTACAATGAGAGTACAATGAAATTCAACACTCTACAGCAGTGGTTCTCAACCTGTGTAACCTCGGGACCCACATGTTTCCTTGGTCATTAAGGCGTGACCCAAAAATGATTTCATTTCTGAAACATTTTAATTTATTACACAAAACAACTTGTGCAGTATTCAGCAATATATATTACTACAGCATCATTCAATGTCTTAAATACAATCCACATATCACATAGCAGAAAGTATTTATGACAATGCATAAAGTTCTGTGCATAACATTTTCTAAGATTATAAAAAAAAATTCTAAACTAACCTTAAAATGACAGATGCTATCAAGTTGGCTTTTTTTGTATTTGAGGAGGATCATGATTAGAACAAGCGTTTAGCAGGATTTAAAAGGCTGTTTCTGGAAGACTACTGAGTTTGTTTGCAGACACTAAATTATTAGTAAATGCATGTTTTTGCTGGCTAAATGCCTGCTGAACGTGATGCTCTTCCAGCCAGCATTTACTAGGTAACATTAAGAAATTGCCAATTGTAAGCAAGTGTAAATTATCAAATCTCATAAACATCCAGCACCCATTCCTGACCTGTACTGAATGGGACCTTTTGTGTGTGTGGTTTAAAAAAAAAAACTGTAGAGATGGAAATATTTTTCTTCAATAAAATATATTTTATGCTGTATATGCTTATATGCTTAAGTTTATGCTTTTTTATATAAAACTCTTAATTTTATTGTTAAAAACTCATCTGCATGTGTTTACTGTTCAGTCCAGTTGTTTTAGCCCAGAGCAAGAACTGGAGCTACAAGTCATTTAATTCTCTGTAAAGTTTCAGGCACTGTTAGGTCCCCTAAAGACTGCATCCATTGATATTGATAACTTTGAGACATTTTAAACTTGGCTATCATGATAGGCTACGTTGTGAATTAATGCTTAGTTCAATGGGTTTGGTTATATGACTGGGATTTATGTGTGTGTGTGTGTATATATAGATAGATATATATGTATATATATAGATATATATATCTATATATAGATCACAGAAGTGAGTACACCCCTCACATTTTTGTAAATATTTTATATAATTTCATGTGACCACACAGAAGAAATTACACTTTGCTACAATGTAAAGTAGTGAGTGTACAGCTTGTATATCAGTGTACATTTGCTGTCCCCTCCAAATAACTCAACACACTTTGTGTGTCATTAGCCATTAATGTCTAAACTGCTGGCAACAAAAATGGGTACACCCCTAAGTGCAAATGTCCAAATTGGGCCCAATTAGCCATTTTCCCTCCCTGGTGTCATGTGATTAGTGTTAAAAGGTCTCAGGTGTGAACGGGGAGCAGGTCTGTTACATTTGGTGTTATCGCTCTCTCTCGCTCTCATACTGGTCACTGGAAGTTCAACATGGCACCTCCATGGCAAAGAACTCTCTGAGGATCTGAAAGATGGCCCAGGCCAGGGGTGCCAATAAGGTCGATCGCGATCTACCAGTCGATCGCGTAGCGATCACTGGTAGATCGTGATGTCCTCTCCTCCCGCCGGTGGGGCTTCTCTGGATCCCCGCTGCTCTCCCCATCTGTATGCAGTGGGGATCCGAGAAGAAGTGAAGGAACCGGCAGCGGAGGACGCAGCCGTTGTCAGAGAACTAATGCCGACCGGTGAGGAGAGAGAGACGCTCGGTCTGGATCTGACAGCCGGCGCCTCTCTCTCCCCTCACTGCTCGGCCTTAGTTCTGTGACAGCGGCTCCGCCCCATCAGGCACTTTAGTCTTCAGCAAACTGTGCTTGCATTCCGGTCCAGTGCGATCTGCAAAAATAGTGCTTGCAGCATTTTTGCGGATCGGACTGGAACGCAGGCACTAATGTGCCTGGGTTCTGGGTGCAGACGATCACACTGTGGGCGAGAGGCCTGCCATTGACTTCAATGCACCACCCCTGAATTCAGGTGTTTTTTTACGTTGGTAGATCTCATTGAGCTCGTCATTTGAAAAGTAGATCTCCAGACAAAAAATGTTGGGGGCGCCCTGGCCTAGGCTATAAGAAGATTGCCAAGACCCTGAAACTGAGCTGCAGCACGGTGGCCAAGACCATACAGTGGTTTAACAGGACAGGTTCCACCCGGAACAAGCCTGGCCATGGTCGACCAAAGACGTTGAGTGCACGTGCTCAGCGTCATATCCAGAGGTTGCCTTTGGGAAATAGACGTATGAGTGCTGCCAGCATTGCTGCAGACGTTGAGGGGGGGGGGGTTAGCCTGTCAGTGCTCAGACCATACGCCGCACACTGCATCAAATTATTCTGCATGGCTGTCGTCCCAGAAGGAAGCCTCTTCTAAAGATGATGCACAAGAAAGCCTGCAAACAGTTTCCTGAAGACAAGCAGACTAAGGACATGGATTACTGGAAACATGTCCTGTGGTCTGATGATAAACTTATTTGGTTCAGATGGTGTCAAGCGTGTGTGGCAGCAACCAGGTGAGGAGTACAAAGACAAGTGTGTCTTGCCTACAGTCAAGCATGGTGATGGGAGTGTTATGGTCTGGGGCTGCATGAGAGCTGCCGATACTGGGAAGCTACAGTTCATTGAGGGAACCATGAATGCCAACATGTACTGTGACATATTGAAGCAGAGCATGAGCCCCTCCCTTCGGAGCCTGCGCCTGAGCAGTATTCCAACATGATAAT